ATCGTAGAAACTTATTTGATTCGTGTGCCAAATAAACTTTGTTTGATATTTGGGATTTCTGAATATAGTTGGCAAGTAAAGTTTATAAAAAAATTACAATTAAACTTTATTTCAAGCATTTAGTGATAAGATATTTCGAAATTGAAAGTTAAATTGCATAGCAAAACAATAAAGAGGCACATTATAAGAAGTGGTCCCCATTGATTCCCTATATCTCATAAATGCACTTAGAATAGGTTTCAGAATCTTTATATGCATTGTAACTTCATTAAGGAAGCCCAATAAAAAACGTTATAAACATAAACAATTTATTATAGAATTTACCTTATTCTCGAACCATTAGTCTGTGTAAATGCGATCAAAACGCGATTACTTCAAAAAGGACTAAAACCACCTGATGCTAGACTATGACCAGTTAAATATATATATATATATATACTTGTTCGTATATAAGTATATTGTATATTAATTTATATATTAGTAATAAATTTAATAATGTAAGTAGGTTGTATACATGATAGTACGAATTTTGCGTGTAATTTTTACGCTTGTTCTCTGTACGTCACAGCTGCATAATATTCGGTTTAATCTCCTTCATTCGCATACACAGTTACTCGTCAGATTTGATCGCTTTCTGGTTACACCGGTCGTTACATATCAGCTAGACAATGTAATAAATGATACAGCGGGTGTGTATTTGGTTCGGAAAAGGAAATTAGTGTTTGCTTCATCTTTTCACACCGAGGTTGCTATCGTAGCACGTTTTGAGCGTTCACACATACATCTATGAACAAACTCATGTTTAACCATAAAACCTAAATGCACCCAAACTATAACGTTTGGTGTTGGAATACAAAATTGAAGTAATATAGACTTTGCAATACGTCAGTTATAACTTTGTAGAAGCCATATTCTAGTTAAAAATGTCTCTGCTTCATTGGTGCGTTCAGAAAGTTGTATAGCTTTGCAGTGAGTTGGATTGTTCAGAGACATAAATATGGTAAGTCTTACTTACTGTTTTCGTAGAAATTCTTGTTCAATACCTACCATTAATTTGAGTGTGAACGTCTTTTGGAAGTACTTATTGTTTTATTAATGATTCATGTCCCACTAATTGTGAAATTGACGAGACGTTTTCTATTTTGAATTTTTCTGTGATATGTTACTTGAAATAATTGTTTTACCAGCTGAATATTTGATATAATTGTTTATACTTTTAATTTTTATAAAACAGTTCATCGAGCATATGAGCACCCCCCCCCCCCAAAAAAAGAAACACTAAATTTACTTACTCTAATGCAAGATGTAAACAGACATTGGCGATGTTAAATAGGAATGACATTTTAAAACAACATGGAAAATCAATCGATTTACTTTTTTTAAATATTCTTTATCAATTTGCCACTCGAAATAACAAGTGTACTCAAACAAAAATCTAAGACACAGTAATATTATAAACTTATTGTCATGTATGTTTGAACAATTTCAGTTACTAAATATTGTCTGATTTATTATCTTACTATTGCATGCATGTTTCAACCATATTTCATATTTATCTGTTTAAATATATAGTATACTAGAAGACTAAACTCTACAGAAAAAAACAAAGACAAAAAAGACGTTTATTTTCATATTATAGTGGAATGTATGATTTTCGTGATGTTTAAAAATGTTCAGTTATTAAAATGTTATATGTCAACAAGTGCATCAATTAGTGTTTGATCTGTTTGTAAATGGCAGTGACGAGAGCATAACATGTGTAATGAAACGAAAACTACTCATCAACGTTCCAAGTGAGATGACATAATTAACTATAGTTAATTGCCAGTGAATCGACAATAATTCAGTTAACCTAAAACAACTTCCAAATAATGAACTGTACCGTCATCTTGACGAAATTTGTATAGATGGAACATTTTAGACCAGCGTGAATACAATAATGGGTTTTCTAAGGCAGGATGTGTTGCTTACGTTTTTCAATTACAATTTGATTACAGCTTATATCAAGATTACCCTATCAGATTTTCATCCACTTCATTACATGAAACTTGCCAACTTGGATTGTGTTACTTAAGGTTAAATCTTTGACTATCCATATTATAAACGGTCAATGAAACGTTATATGTCCCGATGTCATATCTCCATGTGCAAGTTTAAACACGTGTGTGCTTCAATAATGATGTAGACTTTTATTGGGGGGGTGTCGAGCAAAAAAGACAATGCATACGTTTGAGAATCCACTCTTTTGTCTGATTATTTCAGAGATTTACTTTACATGGGCTTTCGTAGCTAAAGTTGGTAACTCTTGTTGTTTTAATTTGGAGACACATCATTTTAAATGCATATAGAAAAGTGGTAACTAATTATCAAGTAGAAGATTTCCTGACCAATTGCAAAATTAATGAAGCAAATCTATATTTCATAATTCAATTAATCCTTTAACACGATTTATATAAATGGCATTAGATAATTAAGTTTGTTAACACCCCATCTGTGGAAATGGAGTTTCCAACAAGAGTAGTTCTCCAAGATATAGGGAGTTTCACAGTTTTATAAATATGTACGATTTTCCGATTTCTGGCATTGTTAGTAGTCCTTCAAAACGGTGAAGTATAAGGTTGATCAGTACTCGAGTAGTAATTGGTTCTTCACCAAAGTGTCTGCGCAAATAAAATTAGCATTAATATATTCATTTGAAAGTCTGAATAGACTATATATATATTCTTCTAAACTGTAGGAATTATTTCGTAGTAAGTCTCGATGTAGTAAACAGCTCTAGCTAAGTTTCGGTAAAACCGTGGTTTCTTCAATTCATTGCAGCGGATGTATGTGACTGTGAATATCACAGCTGTGATTGTATGTTATATTTATGGCAATAAATAGCGTATGAGTTGAGATGTTAACGAATAAAAGTCGAAAACTCGAAACGGTAAAAACGACTGCTAAGCTTGAATAATAAAATGCTGCCAATCAGTGTCTCGTGACGTGGACACGCTAAAACAACAGCATAGTCAGTTCATTTTCACAGTTCCAAATGCGTTGATGATTATCAAAAAGCGGGTTCAACGGAGACAACAAAAATTTAAATTCGAAACATCACTGCAGGGAGATACTAAATGTTTAATATTGTTTACTGTTATTTTCCGAATGTGTGCGTATGTGGTGATATAGAACGTATTTCCATAGCATTATTCATTTAATATTTTACGTTTTTCATGTGTATGTAGAAGCACCTAATAATGGATTAGAAGCGAATCCCAGCTGTTGATGTCGAGTTTGAAACACCTTTATTGCCAAGCAGAAAAACATAACCCGGTACAAATGTTGACGCGGATTTGGGAACAGCGATCAGGTTCACTGGTAAATATTAGGTCCAGTAAGCTTCATTTTTATGAGTAGGCTCGTTCATTTTTAGAGTGGGAAAAAACCGCAATAAATGTTGTATAATTGAAGGTCCGCTATTGTTAATGCATTGCCCCTCGTAAATCCACGAAATCGCGCGAGTGCAAGCACAGATTCACTATATTATACACATTTTTGTTCTTAGATCGTATAATAGCAAATAATTACTTTGTTGTCAAATGATCTATCTTGGGAAATCTGCGAAAATCAGTTTATTCATTTTGAGGAAATCTAACTATCAATGATCC